CTGGAAAAATAAAGAAATAAATAAAAATGAAAGCGCAAGTTACAACTGATCTCAGTTATAACAGTCACGTGTAAAGAAGTGAGCATTGCTTAGCACTAAACCACTCCTTTCTAGTTCTTTGAAAGAGAGTGAGGGCAAATGCTGAAGAGTGAGTTGGAAGTAGCTGAAGTGTTTCTCAGCCTGCGAAAGAGATCACCTCTAGAGATAGCTAAAAATGGCTCAGAAAAATCTTGTCCTGGGCCCTAGGATGGAGAAGCCTCTAAAACATTCTTGTTATCTATCTAATCACCGAGGCAACCTTTTCAAGCAGCAAGACAAGGATATGCTCTTTTAAAATTTCTATCTCTCTGAAGCACACAGGTTAAACTTTCATCCATCACCTAGCAAACACAATTTATGTTAAGAAAGGCACATTTATCAGTCTTCTCCGAGCACATGAAAAAAGAGAAAGGCTGACTAAAATCTCTTTCTTGGCCAGGTGTGGTGGTGCACACCTGTAATCCTAGCACTTGGGAGCCTGAAGCTGGAAGATCATTGCAAGTTTGAGGCCAGCCTGGGCTACAAAGTGAGTTTAAGCCCAGCCTGAACTGCATAGTGAAACCTTGTCTCAAAATGACAAAAAAGAAAACAAAACTCTTTCTTAACTCTTTACATATGCAAGGTACTAATGTAAATTGTTCCCCTGACAGCTGCTTTCCTCTGTGAAAGGCAAACAGTTGTTGCAAGCTGCCTCAGCCCAACCTTCTGGAGGGAAGGGTGGTTTCACAACAAGATGGTTCTAAAGTTCACAATCTCATTTTCTATGGGCTTAACTTAAAGGTGCTTTGTTGTTGGGTAGGAGAAAAAGACTGGGGCATTTTAGAGCTCCTCTCTCTACCCTTACATGCCTCCACAAAAGGGACAGTACAAAGTGGGTGTAGAGCAGGATCAGGCCAGTTTGTCTCAGTGAAACTTGTCCCTCAAGTCTTAAGAACAGCTGCCAACCTATTGTCTTCTAACTAGCTGAAGGGGTCCTGTGATTTATTAATAGGTATGTATATTTCTTAAATATAAACTAGATTTCATAAAGACCCATTTCACAGAATTTATATCAAAGTCCACTAGGGGGCGCTCTAACATTACTCTTCCTAGTGCTGTTGTCTAACAAGTCAAACACCAGAAAATTAGCAACTAATTCCGTTTTATTTCTTTTTTTTGGAGACAGGGTCTCACTATGCAGTTCAGGCTGGCCTTGAGCTCACTTTGTAGCCCAAGTTGGCCTCAAACTCGCAAGGATCCTCCTGCCTCAGCCTCCCCGGTGCTGGGATTACAGGCGTGCGCCACCACGCCAGGTTATCTTTTTCTTGAGGTCTGACCTTTAAATGTGCCTCTACCCACAATTGTAATATATCTGTACTGACTCCCTGGAGGGCCTAGCCCTTTCTGACTGCCTGTATTTCCACCTAATTTCGCTGTCTATAATAATACCAACCTAGGTATTTTGCATTCTTGATGTGCTTTTTTTATTCAGTTAATTTAATTTTTCTATTTTATTTTTCTTTTTTAACAAAACTAGAATCTAAGTTTCAGGGAGCTTAAGTAGCTTTGAGCCCAAGATTGTATAGCTAATAAATGGCTGAACTGGGACATGATAAGAGGCTTGTCTGACTTCAAAGCTCACTTTCTTAGTCACTGTACTATGTTGGTTTCTTACTGCATTCCCAGACATAACGGTTTATTGATTTTTGATCAATTTTATCACTGAAATGTCTCTTGAATACGTTCTCTCCTTTTTCTGCTCACTGGTGCCACTTTGTTCAAAAACTCATATATATTAAATATGTCTATGGAATTTTTTTTTGTACCGGGAATCAAACTCAGGACCCTGTGCTTGCCAAGCAGGTGCTTGTGCCACTGAGCTACATCCCCGGCTATATTAAAATATGGTGGCACCCACCTGTAGTCCCAGCACTCTGGAAGATGAGGCAGGAGAATCACCAGTTTAAGCTAACCTGGGAAATTTAGTGACCCTGTCTAAATATTTCTTTAAAACAAAAAGGGTTAGGGATGTACTTAGTGTGAAGGCTCTATTTTCCATTCCCAGTACCTCCAAGATATACTTTCTACTTTCATTGCAATTTTTTTGTAAATTTGTCTCTTTTTTTTTTGTGGTACTGGGAATTGAACTCAGGGCCTTCTGCATGCTAGGCAAGTACTCTAGCACTGAGCCACATCCCCAGCTCCTGTAAATTTGAAAATAATTCAAAATATATTAATACACATACACTCACATAGGTGTTGGTTTTTTCCTAATTACAAAGATGATATACACCAGTATTAAGAAAGTTCATTACAAAAAAAAAAAGAAGAAAAAAGAAAGTTCATTACAAGGGGCTGGGGTATAGCTCAGTGGCACAGCACCTGCCTGGCAAGTACAAGGTCCTGAGTTCAATTCCTGGTACCAAAAAAAAAAACAGTTCATTACAAACTGCAGGGCATGGTGGTGCACACCTGTAATCCCAGCCCTTGGGAGGCTGAGGCAGGCAAATCAATGCAAGTATGAGGCCACCCTGGGCTACATAGTGAATGCAAGGCCAGCCTGAATGACATAGTGAGACCCTGTCTCAAAGAAAGAAGGAAAGAAAGAAAGAAAGAAAGAAAGAAAGAAAGAAAGAAAGAAAGAAAGAAAGAATCATTACAGACTAAACAGTAAAAGTTCCCCAATCCCAGCTCCTAAAGATGGCCAACACAAACAATACAGCACACATCCCCCAAGTTTTTTCTTTGTATATCCTGGAATGTTATGCCCTGAAAAAAATAAAATCATATCTTGAAATTCACTTTTCCTGTGCATATGGATCTATCTTGATTGGTGAGTATTTTTTAATTAGGTAAAAAAAAAAATATATATATATATATATGTTTTTTAAATGTTCAAATAGTAAGGGGAACTAGGGAGGGGAGAGGGGGAAAGGAAGGGAAAAGAAAAAATGAGAAAAGAAGGAAAAAATCAAAACAAAGCTTTTGTAAATAAGAAGGGGAAGGGGGCTGAAGTAAAGGTAGGGGAATGGGGAAAAAAATCAGGTTATATCATGGTAATATATATATATATATATCAGGTTGTATCGCAGGTATTGCAGACAGCTAAGCTAGGCAGAAGTATTGTAGGCAGTCAGATAGGGATGGAGGGGCTGGGGATTTAGCTCAGCGGCAAAGCACCTGCCCGGCAAGCACAAGGTCATGAGTTCGATTCCTGATACAGGAAGAAAAAAAAAACAAAAACAAAAACAACAAAAAAAAAAAACACCAAAAAAAACCAGATAGGGGTAGACCTTCGAGAGAACCAGGACAAAGATGAGCCACATCTCAACTGTGGCTGGAGACACACCTGTTGCAGACCAGGCCTCAAGATAAAGATGAGCTGACCAGGCCTGTAGGCTTCCTTGAAGGACAAACACCAGGCCTAATGAAGCCCAGGTAGACATCAGTCACCACAGTGGGTAACCAGGACCTCTGAACCCATCATTTGCTTGAACACATCTTAGTTCTTTCCATATACCCTTGTTATGTGACTTGATTCACCATTGGACAGCTATTGCCTAAGCGACTATACTTGTATCCTTATTGGTTAATCATAGCTGTAACCCATATGGCACACACATGGTACTGCTCTATAAAATTTCCCTGTAAAGTGGAGTCCTCCGCAATCCATTCGGACACCCTCTTGCCTCTCAGAAGCTATATCTCTCAATAAATATCTTCCTACTCTTAACTTCTGTTGTTCCTAGAATTCACCCTTCATTTTTTTAGAGACTAACTCAGCATATTAGACAACTAACAGGTTGGTAGTTCTAATACTTTCCTTATGTCATATTTGAAGGTTCTGATAACAACCCCTGGTAACACAGGTGCCATTCCCTATGATGAATGTGATCATTGTGTATACCTAAACTGTACCAATAAACTGAATTTAAAAAAAAAGAAATAAAAACCTATGTGGACTACAATGTAAATACAAAAGAGAGAGAGAGAGAGAACTATACATGTTATACAAAATTCAATAGACACAAAAGGGTATATCAGGTATGAAAAGTGTCTCCTTTCATCCTTGTTCCTCAAACATGCAGCAGCAATGCCTTCCCTGATTTCTTCAGTGACCTTCTGGAGCCTCATTTCTGTTTTGTTTTGTTTTGTTTGAGACAGAGTCTCACTATGTAGTTCAGGCTGGCTTTGTTGTGTTTTTCAGTTTTGTTTTGTTTTTGTTTTTGGTCTTTTTGAGACAGGGTTTCACCATGCAATTCAGGCTGGCTTTGAGCTCACTTTGTAGCCCAGCCTGGCTTCGAACTCATAATGATCCTCCTGCCTCAGCCTCCCAAGTGCTGGG